TCCATCTTCCTACCATCACATGGATGTCCTTCATTTGTGCTGGTTTTGGATTTCAAGGAGGATCAATCAAGTTGTGGATTGTGCACATGTGCCCGTATCCGGAAGTTCTCGATGTGCTCCAATGCTGTAATGGTCCTGTTTGAGGAGATAATGTTGCTTTGGGGTCAATCCATCACATTGCAGTTCACCCCTTCGATTGGAATCCATCTTCCTACCATCACATGGATGTCCTTCATTTGTGCTGGTTTTGGATTTCAAGGAGGATCAATCAAGTTGTAGATTGTGCACATGTGCCCGTTTCGCAGATCGTTTTGCAGAGTATATAATTCTGTTCTATGGAACTTGAAGTGAAGAGGGTGTGGACCCTCCTCCTACCACAGATCGTTGGTTATATTCCTGATACCACTTGGTTTTGGACTTGAGTTGACCGGCCATGAATAGTCTGCTGTGCCCTAGTCACTCTACACCTTGGAGCACATCCAGTTTCACTTTATCCCACATTACTGTCTATAGAGGATTCATCTTCCTATTCTCTTCATTGGGATTGAGAATATGTTATTAGGTGGCTTGGATTCCAATCCCATCATTTTCTCTCCCTTTTGCTTGTGCTCCTTCTTTTTTCTACCTGTGTCTGCTGCACCTCTTTACACACTGGACGAAGAGTATTCCTGGTACAGAAGTGGTGCAGTCTCCCAAGGATGATTCTTTATTATTATTAATAATTTCAGCAATGTATTCACCTGCTGGAAACTTGAAAAGAGTTAACAGTTTTAAGACTACATAACTGGTGCAAAAAAAGAATAAATAATTCTGTTTTACTAACATAGCCCTCCATCCCAAAATACTAATACCCTAGCATAATAAGAAAAAAACAATTTAGGCATATAATTTTGAGCAGAAGGATAGGGTCATCATATGGTGTGACCCCAGTCTTTTAAAAAAAAAAGCCAATCAGAATTGAAAAAGGAAAAAAATGTTTTCTTCTATGTAAAAATAACCACATTCACAGAAATAACATCATAACAACCTAAAGAACAAAAATTTTATTTAAGTTAACTAATCACTAATCTGTAACAAAGATGGAGAATTCCAATAACTTGTAATATAATTCCAATTGAAGTGTCTAAATCCCCTGTTGTTACTTATTTACTTTTTATGGTTGAATATTTCTTAGTTATTTAGATTCAACTAAGACAGGTTATTTGTAGGATATACCCACGAGTACAATTAAGGTGTGTTTTCAAACCTAATTGTCACCTACACTTATTTAAGGACCATATTTCTATGTCACAATCATCCTTAGTAGTTTACAAATTTACTTGTCCTTGCTGTCAGTAACATCATATTGGCTCTATAAAGAAAAAACTAATAACATGTATAAAAGAACACTCAAATTTCAGATCACCCACAAAACTTAGTGTAGCTGAACATGCCTTAGGAGATTGTGACATAATTGTCACATCCAGTTTAAGATCTTACATAGGGCCATTGATGAAAAAAGCCTTCATATAAAAAATCTTGTTATTCACAAACTGTGGCCTCTGATCAACATTGTTGAGTCAGAAACTCAACATGCATCACATAATTTCAACTAGTTATTGGACATTGATCATCATGAAGTTTGTACGTAACATAGCATTCAGAAAATAGATGATTAAAATTCCTTGTAACAGTAATTAAGTATTGAAAATTGGGGAAAGGTTTAAATTACTGAATTTATAGTTCAGGAAACCAGATAAACTTTTATTTTTCATCTAGTTCCTGATATGAAATATTTTATTTCCCTCTTTATTAAAGTGTTATTTTATACAAAATTTTCAGTATGTTGATGTTTGTAGAAATAATTGTTTTTCTAATTGTTAAGGTTGATCCTCATTCTTCTAAGCAAATTGAGAACATTCAAGTTCTACTAGCTGCTGTTTTCAAACAAACACAACCACAGCAGCAAACGGACACACAATTATCCAGGATAGAACAACAAAGTGGTGTTCAAGTGCTTGAACAAGAACCAGTCAAAGGCTACTCTGCTGGTTTGTTTTATTATTTTTTTTCATTTTAATAAGTGAAAATTTTAAATTTTAATGCACTCTTTTTATGGCTGTGTTGTAATGCTTTTTTGAAATATTTTACAGAACTACTAAATATACTTCATTTCTTGTGTATGAACTAAGTATTTACACTTAGGATCAGTTAAGTTGCTTCTAATGTAAACACATAGTTCAAATATCTCACACACACTTTAGCATAAGTACTAAATTTTGGGACTTGTGGCTAGTCTTTACTTTCACATTAGGAAGTGAAAATTTATCTTACAGTATCTAATTTGTTTCTCAACACGGTATGTACATGATAGACATATGGGTTTTAGAAAATGGGAAATTAACTCATGATTATGCTCTGAACTTGAAACATTTACTGTTGTTACAGGTAATTCATTGCTTGTAGTGTATGAGCTACTTATTTTTTTATTTACATTCAAAATTATTTCTTTGTATCAAAATTTCCATGTAAAACAATAATTATAAATAGTAATTTAGATTTTAATTTCTTTAGGTAACATTAGAAGTGTGTATTGATATATAAATTAAAAGCAAATGAAATAAATTTACTTTTACTGGTGTTTATTGTAAAGAGAAGCCTGGTCATCCTTTTCAGCATGTAATATCTGAGTTAAATATGTGTGTGTGTGTGTGATTATATTTTGTCACTGAGTAATGTAAGACAGAGAATTTTACAATAGCTGTATAAAGCAAAAACTTTTAATCTTAAACACCATGAGTGTAATGATTGTTTTGTGTATTCATGAACAACTTTTAAATATCAGATTTAATGCATTTTTACCACAGGTATAGTGTGAAAGTTTAGTTAATGGTTGATGGTTGAGATGTATCAACATTCTGCAGTATCATAAAGTTCAGAATATAATGTACATAATAATTTGGGAATAAAAGATTTTCCCAAATTCTTGAGAGGGTTTGCTGATTCTCTTTGCCACATGCCTTCACTTTCAATGTGTCTAGAGGTGTGTCAGAAGACTGATCAACCTCCTCATGGCAGTTTTTTGTTACAGAAGTTTTTGTTGTTAAAATTTCAACAGAAAGGAAGATATTTTTTTTAGATATTCATTCAATTTCAAACTTGAGAAATTATTGCAAGTATTTGCTAACCCTATTCCAAACCAGATAATATTTTATTTCAAGCTAACAGACGACAGATATCTACCAGGGATTTTAAATGTACACAAGATATTTCCAAGTTATACTAGTTAGTAGTAGTTTTTTGAATGTTTAAGCAGTAAAGTTGGGCAGTCCATGTTATGTTTGTAGAATATATGTTGAAATAAATTGTGTTAATATGAATCTATACAAATTAATGTGGAATTGATATATGAAAAAAGTAGAATATTTTGTATTATTTAATAGCACTTTCTCTGTTACATTAGTGGAACATCTTGACAATGTGAAAAGGGAAACACATGACTTGAAGAGAAGACAAGAACAGGAAACTCTGACAGAAACATCTGGTAAGTATGACGCTATGTACAGCAGAAGCTATAAAAACAAGCATGAATCTAATAGCATACCTACATACTTAAGGCCACGGTCAGAATTTCTGACTCAGCTTCAAGACAAAGAGAGTTGGAAGGATAAGTTCATTGCCCAAAACACAGATAGTAATTACAACCCATCTGGAATCAAAACAGCTCTGACTCGGTTATTGTCTAACCAGGAACTCAATGTTGCTAGTACTATAAGTAATTCAGGTATAACATCTCCGTCTACTAGTTATTCTTCTAGTTTTAGGGGTTATACTGCACACCAAAATAATTCTCTCTCCATAGCTAGCAGAGAAGCAACTGGCAATGAAATCTCTCAGAAAAATATTAATCAGTGTAGATCTTACAGTAGTCTCTCTCCTATAAACACTTCAGAAACATTTTCAAGTCATGGTGTCATGAGAGATCTGGATAGACTATCTTCCAGCCAATCACAACAACAAAGATTTGGAAGTTCCACAGAAGGATTTGCTGGTCGGATGACTTCTTTTGAATATAATCCAAAAAAGACAAGTTCACAAGGTCTTCTGGGACAAAGTGTGGATAAAGAATATTCTCGTGATGTCTATAGAAGTGATGTACCACCAGCAATGGCTCAAGTAGAACCACTGACTCAGTCTGGAAATAGACCTTCTGGCTTGCCCCTTGCTAGTGAACACTACCCAGACCACGAATATAGGTATGACCAAGATGGAGCTGGACATGTACGTGGTCACCCAAGTTATAGTCGAAGAGGAGACTTTTATTAAAGATTATCATTGCTATAAGTTTGAATGGTATGTTATACAAGTCCATGTAAAAGAAAATGTGACCAATTTGATACCATTTGAAATTGCCTTTTTGTATATAGTATTTGTTGTTTGTGTTTTAAGTATGTATGAGTGAGTTATATTTAGATGTTAAGGGTTGGAAAAGATGTGCTATTTTCAGCAAATTCAAGCTAATTATAGTTTTGTTTGTGTAAGAGTTATGGATGCTTGGGAAAATAATCATTGGGATGACATTTCTATGATTTATTCACTATATACTTTGGTTTTAAACTGAACATTTGTTTTATAGAATAATGATATCAAATTTATTAAAAATGTAAAGCTTAAAACAAATTGGTTTTGTTTCTGCCATTTCAGCTTAAAATTTTTTATTGCTTTTCTTTGTTTTTTGGGTAAAAATGCTAAATTCTGTAGACTTTTGCTTTTGTGTCTTTAACTATTAGTAAAATTTATACAAGTTTTGAGGGACTGGTGTTTCCTTCCTTGCTGATAAATATAAACATTCCACAGCAGGTTATCTTGATAACAGATGACATTCTCAGCAGAAATGATAAATAGATTTATTTGATACAAGATATTTTCATGATATATTCTATTATCTAGAGAATATTTGTTCTAACTTTATTGCTGTAACTAATGACTGGGAAGGAAATAGTTACTTCTTTCAAAAAATATTAAATATGTATAAAGTATTTACAGCATAAAATCTTATTGCTTGGAGTTGACTTAGCATTAAAGTGAACAAAAATCCATTGTACTTAGTAGCTGTACATATGGTAAACATGTATTTGGCTATGAATGGTATATCCTACTTTTGGATATTAATAGGTAATGAAAGTGGAAAATAATACTGAAATTTGATAGTGTTTACTTTTGATAATTTCATTCATTTTAAACATTTACCTTATTTTTCCTGCCTTAGTCCACTGTGAGAATGGTTTTTATTGTTTTGTTTTGACAAAATAGTTTACTAAATCTGTTTCAAAATACTTGATCAGAAGTTTAATAATTGTTTAAAAAAAATACAGTTATGTTAGAAGGCAGTGGGCTTAACTTAAAATAAGAGAAAGTTGAAAAATTATGAAACTTCATTTCAGTACTCTTATTGGTGTGAACAGTGGGCCATGTATATGTATGTGGGCTCTAACTAGTTTTTCAGATGTTTTTCACCTTTCATGTTTGTCAGTTTTGTAATGTGAATGTGAACATTTTAGCATATAGCTCATAAATTTTTTTTTCATTGCTTTCTTGTGTTTCACAGATATAATTTAATTAGTTTTCTTTGATAGCATTTTGTAATGCTAATTAAACTTCTACTTTAAGTAAATGTGTACTGATATGGTCTGGGAAGTAAAAGTTTTGAAAGTTAATTTTCTCAGCATTGAACTCTTAAATCTAAAACTTGGTCACGACTGCAATAAAAATGTCACAAACTTGTTTGTCTTCATATATTTCCTTGGATGTTGTTTCTAGAATTTTTTTTTTTGGTATTTGGCTTAACAAATGTGGTTTTGATTACTTTAAAATTTACTGTTAGTAATTTTGTAATTACCACATAAAGTAAAAATGGTTATTAAAATGAGAAATTTATAGTTTTTGTGGGTTCCACTCACAAAGTGTGACATTTTTCAAAACTGTGCTTGCACCTTGTTAAGTGTAAAATATAAAACAATTTGGATACAATTGATAATAAAAAGATTGTACAGAATAGCAGAAAGTTTGGACTTCAACCATTTGGATCTATCAGGTAGGACTATCTTTTCACATTCTAGAATATTGTTTCCACATGAATAAACTGTTTAATTTATTTCACAGTATAATACAAATGAGGTAGAAATAAAATTTGTATTATAACACAAAAACATTTTCATTTGCACAGTATATCAGTATTTGAAAAAAGGTTTAGTGATAAAGCATTTTTGTGACAAAATGAGAGTTTTGAGATTCTGCTTTGACCATTTGTGAAATATGCCAATTGTGTAGTGTACCACCAATATGTTATTTCAAACTAAATAAAGCAGAACTGTGTGAAAAAACATGCCTTAAACATATGGAAGTTTTCCTCTGGTTTTCTTCCTAATATTGTTTTAATACTTATTTTAATGTATTAAAATTTTTTCTGATCTTATAGGTGAGTGTTAATAATGTAATTAAGGCTCTAGACTTGAGTGTGATGTAATCTAATCACACAGAACTGCTCACCCTGTTCTAAATCAATGTTAAGTAATGTGCATAATGTTTAACATTGTTACCTCACATTTTTGATTTGCTGAGATAGAAACAAAAAATCATGATGCTGTTGCAATATACACCATAACAATATCTCTTATCTAGGCAGTGCATCTCTGTTATAGCCAAGAGTTTCATGAACCCATGGTAACCAGGTAGTCCAAAAATCATAATGGCATATTGAGATAATTGTAAGTAATAAGTGAGGGGAAAATAGTTGTGTTAGATTAGTCCATTGTTCATCGGACCGACCCTGTTCTAGAGAAAGAATGTTGACTATAATTCCAAATTTACTGTGTGTATGTAAATGAAATGTAGCAAGCTTTTAGTAAAATGTACAAGTGTGAAATTTAGTTCCCTAATGTTGCTGAGATTGAAGAAGATCCTTATGTTTTATGTTATATTTGTTAAAACCCTACTCACATTGTTTACAATTAAACATAATTGAATTTTCTGAAGTCGTATTCCTGAACTTTTATATTGTGATATTAGAAATACTCATAAAATGTTCATATTATTGCTAGTACACACTTGGAATAATCTCAAACAGATGCTTTTAGTCTCGGCTGTTGGGTATTGATTTGAACACCCTTCACATGCAGGTTTTGTAGTGACGTTTGTGTAGACTACAGGGAAGCAGAAAAACCTGTGGTGTAGCAACATTGAGCTTAGGTAGCCACTCTGTTAGCACTACCTCTTCTCATGTTAATAATCTTTCTACTCTTAAGTAAAAAACATACAAACTTCAAATAATAGATAAATCATTTAACCAAAGAGAAGAATTATAGACTATAATCTTGAGCTTACTACTTGTATCTATACAAAATGTGGGAAGCTAGTAGTAATACGTACAAGTCTGTTGTGCACCAAAATTAATGTTTTACAAAAGTATTTGTACACAAGATATGTCTGTGAATTGATGATGTCCTCTAACTGAGACGGACAAGTTGGAGTGCAAGGTGGTGATGTTCTTGTGAAGAATAAAAACTTTTTTCCATTGTATGATTTACATATTGCATTTGTATATCCTCTAAAACCTGCAAAATGCAGATCTAAAGTTCTTTTCACTATCCCTATAAATTTTGTCTGGTAGTTACTCTCCTCTACTGTGAACTGTCATTACAATCATCAGCATTAGGTGAAATGAACAGCTGATAACTCTTACATAAAGTATGTAATACTGTGTTGAATGGCACTGTAAAAGTTGTAGCATGCTCACTTTGACCCTCACCCGTGCAAATAGGTTTAAGCTTTGTGTGAATAAGTGCTGTTTAAAAATGTATGTGGTTGTTTGACCACTATGGAACAATTTAAAACTGGATCTCAATATATTCTATAAAGTAATATGTGTTTGCTTAACTAATAATAGGAAATCACTGTCAGTAAGCTGATATTTAGACATGTTTAATTCTTTGAAGATAAATTTCTTGAAAAAATCAATCTGGGAAAATATAAATTTTTCAAGAATATGTGAGAGATGCGATACAACCGTAAATGTATATTTGACCTTTTTTAGTAACCTTTTAACTTTAGATCCTATGTTTAGGCTTGGTAATTATGACTTAAAAGTGTCTGTCTCTTTCCAAACAGAGTAAAAAGTTTCACTCTTTTCTCAGAGCTACAGTGGTAGAATGTTTGCTACGTTTTTATGTAATTAAGCAAAATAAGGCAAAATTAACTTGGAAAATAATGTATGTCTCAACTTTCTGAACATATATTATTCGGTCTGAAAAGTTTTATCTCTTGTCACTCGCCTGTTAAGACTAGCAAGATTTATAGTTTGTACATGCTAAAGTATTATATATAGTCTATATATGAAACATATGTAGGAGCCATGTAGTGATTTTGTCAATATAAGCATTTTATTACAGAGGAAACATACCATCTATAAATTAATTTGGTTTTATGTCAAATTATAACTGTTTCACAAAAATAACAAAAACTGTGTTATAAGCTTGTAGTATTGAACATACGACATGTTTCTTGTTCTTGTTAAACACCAGATAATTAAAAATATAATGCATTTATATTCATTCTGTAAAACACCTAATATTTCTCAAAACATTGTAAATAATGAAATTTGTATAGTTGTGTTAATTTTGAAGATTTATGCAGTTTGGACTTGTAACATCTGTAAATACGAACATTCTAAAACAAGGATAGTAATGAAAACAGAAAATACGTATTAACAGCTATGCTAGGTGTTTTAAAATTATAAAAGGTTAAGATTATACAAACAAAAACAAAAGATCTAGAACTTTTAAGACTGCATTTTAATAAATCTTATGTGCTTGGCTCTTTAAAGGTAGTATTGAAACAAAATCCATATTTAGTTTGCAATTTCATTATGTATTTAATTAGGCCTCTTCAGCAGATATTTACTGTATTTAATTTTACTTGATTAAAAAGTTTTTTAGAGAGCATAAATTTCTCTCAATTCCCAATTAACACTATAAGCCTTTAAAATGTTAGATCTATCAAATATTTAAGATAATTTTAACTGTCATCCAAACTAATCAATGACTTTTTAAAACAATTTCATCTACAGTGCCTCTTTATTAATAACATCAGGCTATATGTTGCATTAAGAATTTGATTTTTTTAAAACAGCTTGAAAAATACAACTTACCCCCCCCACCTGAACCGTTTCAAGCCATTCTGAGGTTAATACTGTAACTCCTGAGAAATTACTGAAGTATGTATTATTTAAATGACCCAAAGTAAACAGAAAAAACGTTTATCATTATAGACTTCTTGATTATTTTGCAAAGTTCATAGGTTTAATGTAAAATAGATGACAAAGTATTAGGTCATCAATATATTAATGTCGCTTTTTTAGATGAAAAAACCCGAACAACTTATATATCGAAGCAAAAAATTTATTAAATGACATAGTCTCCATTCTTATCGATGATGCTTTTCCGTCTTACAATCAGGTTGTTAATGCCCTGATTACAGAAATCACTTGGCTTTAAAGCAAAAAACACATCGATGCCCTCTTTAACACCTCCCACATTTGTATACGTTTTTCCATTAAGATGGTGTTGTAGCAAATAAAAAAGATGGTAATCTGATGGTGCCATATCTGGAGAATATGGTGAGTGGGGGAGAACTTCCCAATCCAACTCTGTAATCTTGTGTTGCGTCAGATGTGCCACACGTCAACATGCATTGTCGTGGAGAAGAACACCACCTTTCTGATTGATGAGTGAAGGGCTTGATTTAAACATTCCTGTTGCTGACTATAGATCTCTACATTGACAGCTCGCTGTGGATTGAGGAGGTCGAAATGAATTACTCCTTTGATGTCTCTCCAAATGCAAAGCATCACTTTTTATAGATGGAGTCCAGGTTTTGGCGTCGGAAGTAGTTTCTGTCTAGGACTGAGCCATTGCTTTTTGCATTTAATATTCGTATAGAGAATCTATTTTTCATCACCGATGATAATTCTGTCCAAAAATGGATCACGCGCATTACACGCTAGAAGAGATTAAGCAATGTTCACACGTTGGAAACGATGATCATCGGAGAGTTCGTGAGGCACCCAAAAACCTTTTTTATGGAGTTTTCCCATATTCCTTAGATGTTTGCGTATTGTTTTATGAGATACATGCAATTTCAGCACCATTTCATGAGTGTGTTGCCTCAATAAGCATCAATATCAATTCCAACATGTCAGCCCCTGCCATTACAGTTTTTATGGCTGAAGTCACCTGAATAAAGTTTGAACGAATGTTCAAAACATTTTCATAAACTTCTTTGATATTCTTTATGGATACAGAGGCATTGTTTCCCCTTTTGTGTTCAAACAGCATTACATGGCAAATGTGTGTCTCGTCGTGTGCCATCACTGTAAGGGATTAGAGTATACTAAATTTTACACATAATATAGGCTACACTAATATGACGTTTAGACGGTTCGTTTAACTATTATACGTGATGTATGTTTTTTGAGGGTGGTTAATGAAAGTGTTCCAAAATGTGACATTAATTTCTTGATGACCTAATAATATGTTTCAGCTAGTGAAATATTTTTCAAAGCCTTTGAAGGCTTTGGCTTATGCAAATGAAATATATTTGTCATATATAGGATTGTGATTTTATGACTTAACCTTCTCCCCCCCCCCCACCCCACCCCCCATGGACTTGCAGTGCTAAAATCCAGGGTTTTGATTCCCCACAGTGGACAATACACAGATAGCTCATTGTGTAGCTTTATGCTAAAAATAAAAACATTTTATACATATTAAATTGTTAAAGAAATTATTTTTGCCATGAACTTGTTTCTGTGCCCCAAAGCAGGAGATAGCTTTTGTTTTATGGAAGCTTGTCAGGCCAACACACTGTCATTGAATAAAATCTGATCAACATCTTTCAGATGTACAACCAGTCTAATTAGAAAATTATTATTTCTTATATAGTATGTAAGGATGAGACTTTGGTGTATTTTTGTCTTTGATATTTTATAGCTGACAGTACATACATACACGTGTGTGTGTGCTTGGTTGTTTGTAAAATATTACTGACTTGAGACAAATATTCTTTATAATAGAACTATTAACAACTAAAGCCTAATTAAAGTATAATTTATATAAACTATTCTCATCCATTCAGACCAATTTTCATTTATTTTAAACATTTTATTAAATTAATATGTATTCTAACTTTTTCATTTAGCAGAACAGAGTTGTTGTTATATATCAAGTTATTCTCTTGTAATTTAAGAACTGTTTGCACAATCACTTTCATATCTAATACTTTTCCTCAGTGTGTGTGTGTTTGTGTATGACTACCTAACCATTTTGGTATTAGTATGTGAAACAAAAACAAATCCAAGCATCAAGTATTCCTTAAATCCACTAACTTCAAAAGCCATGATATGTCTTGTTTCGTTGTATATTTGTTAAGGTAACCCAGTTTTTCACTGATGGACAATTGCACATAAATATCATAAATTAGGGTATATTCATTGGTTATTGGATAATATTTTACCTCCTAAATCATCACCTGAGGAACTTCACAACTTATTTTGTTAATGAAATTAATATGTATTACACTTGGGATAAGTATAAATGGTGTACTTAAAATGTTGTATCATGCAGGATTAAGCTGATAGAAAGACATTTTGCTAAGTAGTGCAGTGTTAACAATGTTCTTCAGATATAACAGCAGTTATGAACATACAAAGTATTTTCACTTGAGATAGCTAAATATAGTGTTTTATCATTTGTATGAAGAACCTCGTCAGTTATTCTGTTTCTAAGTTCATTGAAAACTACTAGCAATTGAAGCATATTTGATAATTTTGGTTAGTTATTTTTTCTTAACAGTCATATTTGATTTTGATATTAAATTACTCCAACATAGTTTACATTTTTCTAAATTAGAGCATCAAAATATCATATTCACTATAGCTTAATTTGGACAACGTATATGTGTTTGATTATTAAATTTTAACATGTTTTGTTCTGCTGATTAGAGACAAGGAAAAATTAACAGATTGAGTGAACATTAGTCAGCAAGTAAAGGAATTAAATAGTTTACAATGTATTCATGGTTTAGTTTATGTTTACTTTAAATAGACAAGTATGCATGATATCTATACATGACACTTAATGTTAAATATGACAAAAAACAGTTTTATCCCTGAAACCAGTGAACCATAAGTTAGTACACACTTGATAAAAAACAAAAAAAAAGTTTTATCTACATTGTTATGAAAAATGAATGCAATATTTTTTTCTTTGCAGACCTATTTTCTTGCTTTTAACACATTTTTAGAATTGTATCTAGTGTAAAGGGATTAGTTATATGTAAACTACTGTTCATGTGATTAAGTCCATATAAACACTTGTAGAACACTCCATTCATTTGCATATGTAAAATGGACTAATACGTGATGGGTTAGGTGATTGCTTGAGCTTTCTAAATGCAAAATACATATTGGTCTGAAAGATACTGGGTACGAGGAATGATATTGGAATTTTAGTGGAAACATGATACTGCATGCCTGTTATGGTGTTTTCAAAATCAACTTTTTTTTCTTTTAATGTTTAGACATTATCTGTGGTAGTTTAAAAACTTTGGCTGCAATCTGTTGGTTATAGCCCAATAAAATTGTTGTTCTCTTAATTTTCTGGAAACCACAGATATAAGACTTTATCCAAATGAACCAGTTCCTTCATCAGTAGTTAGGTTTCA